TTTTTTTTTTTTTTTTTTTTTTTTTTTTTTTTTTTTTTTTTTTTTTTTTTTTTTTTTTTTTTTTTTTTTTTTCAGCTTGACGCGCTCTTTTGGCATGTTCCATTCTGTATTGTTACTCGCTAGCACTGGCCCACTGCCAGGTAATTTCCTATGTAAAACTTGGGAAGTTTTGTATATAGTATATAATTATCCAAATAAAAGACAATTTAAAACAGCTAATCGCAATGGGCAATAAACGATCTTTCTTAAAAAGAAACATCCTTTGGGTACTCCGTCTACTAGGTCTGAATAATTGGAAGTAGTAACTAGTTAACTAGTTAGTTTTGCACCCTTACGTCAAAGCCAGGCAGCAAAGGCTAACCCGAAACGTTCATATCAGCCTAAGGCATGACGCGCGACCCGTGAACGCGTTTCCCCACTACGCGACCTCACCTTGTGAATGGCAATTTCTCCTCTACTTGAATTCTTAACTTCTCCCAATCCACCTTCTACCTGTAAGTCACACAAGGATTTGAATCTTTCACTGAACAAACCAACTGATATCTACGGGTTCAATTCCAGAATTTACCTGACATTAAATTCCTCACCTAATTCTTTCACCTCTCACTATCACATTCATACCACACACACAGATCAAGAGTGAGTTTTAAGCATGTTTGTCATTTCCCTAGAATTGCTGTCTAACTGTTACCCCAGTGTTGGAAGCTCGCCTAGAACAAGCCTCTCTCCTCAAGCGTGTATGTGACTAGAGTCTCCAGATCAGCCCTGTACTGTCACTGACCTAGCACTCGATCGTTCAGGTTGTCGACGCTATCAAGGATTTGGTGCAGGACTGCAACTTCGACTGCAATGACTCTGGTATCGCCCTCCAGGCCATGGATAACTCCCATGTAGCCCTGGTTTCCATGCTTCTTAAGGCCGAAGGCTTCTCCCCATACCGCTGCGACCGCAACATTGCTCTTGGTATCAACTTGATCTCCTTGACCAAGGTCCTACGGGCTGCTCAGAATGAAGACATTCTTACTCTCAAGGCCGACGACTCCCCGGACGCCGTTAACCTCATGTTCGAGAGCGCCGAGACCGACAGATTAAGCGAATATGATCTTAAGTTGATGGACATTGACCAGGAGCACCTGGCAATCCCGGAGACCGAGTATGCCGCTACTGTCGAGATGCCTTCTGCAGAGTTCCAGCGAATCTGCAGAGACCTGAACGCGCTTTCCGAGTCTGGTTTGTGAACCTAATTCGTTTCCTTCGCCCGATACGTCCAGTCTTGGGACAGCCAGGCCCGTTCAGTTACTGACTAGTATTTCAGTTGTCATTGAGGCTACCAAGGAAGGTGTGAAGTTCTCCTGCCAGGGTGACATTGGCAGTGGATCCGTCACCATCCGTCAACACACCAACGTCGATAAGCCCGACCAGAACGTTTCCATTGCTCTTTCCGAACCCGTTGCCCTTACTTTCTCCCTCAAGTACCTCGTCAACTTCTGCAAGGCTACGACTCTCTCCAGCACGGTGACCCTCTGTCTGTCCCAGGAGGTTCCCCTGCTTGTTGAGTACGGTCTGGGAAGTGGTCACCTGAGATTCTACCTCGCTCCTAAGGTAAACTTTCTCTCCGTGCCCTGTTTTGGAAACGAGGGGGATGCTAACGTGACATAGATTGGTGACGAGGAGTAAATTAATCAAGAAAACAAAAACAGAACATACAACTTACGACGAAGGGCAGTAAATGGTTTCTTTGCGGGTTTCATTTTACATTCGGAAATATCCCACGTTGACGGAACAAAGGATTTTGTTATCATAATATCCCAGTTAGATATGAAGCGATTGTTTTTTCCACACTTGCATTGTGTACTGGTAACTTGAATAAAAGTACTTTCTCGTGATGAACTTGGGGACGCGGCGAAGATACAAAGTAGACTACGCAGGGCTTAAAATGTCATACAAGAAATCAGTATCTGCACTACACAGGGCAAATCCCAAGAAACAAGGATCAAGCATCAATTGATATCATTTATCAACACTACACGGCGTATTCCTCCCAATCCTGGTATACCACCCAACCACCGATATAGATCTATTAAAACGAAAGGCAACAGGACCAAGCAGGACCCGCCCCCAACAAATTAGCCAGGGACACACACCACTCTTCCCAGTCTGACAGTAACCACTCACCTAGAAGAAAAAAAGAAGAAGCACCATCCCAACCAGAATGATCGGAATCGAATTCTACCATCCCCTCCTCCCCCCAAGGGAGAAAGAGGGGTACAGTATGCTGCGTATTGCACTAAAGTGTCGCACGAAGCATTAGCCCGCGCACACAATCTTCGCAACGACTCTCCCATGGGGAAACCTCGAACCATGTCCGAGCCCCGATGTTTCTGATGCCGATTGCAGATGTGCGGCATCCCACCGAACGCAGTCTAGTGGGCTGTCTTTTCACACCAGGCCCTTGCGGGCAGTACCGGCTCCCCATCTCTCGGAAGAGATGAACAGCGGGTTACTGGGTTTGAGTGAAGATTCCTCCGAATTTCTCATTTGCGGGTGTTCTCGGGCCGTTGAAGGTCAACGGTCGAGAGATCAAGTTTGACCTTGACCGTGTGTAGCAAAGAAACGCAGCATTGGTTGGGATGGTGCTTGGGAAGAAGAAAAATTTGAGATCGAGGGTTTGTTTTTGTGGGTTTTATATGAGGTGGAGCGGGGTGGTTACCGCTTGCTGGGTTTGGTTTAGTGGGGTTTGTCTGCATCGACATCTGTATACATACATAGTACTACTCAGATAACTCGCTCGATCGTGGGCTTTTGGAGATTTATGCTCTTGATGAGTATTTAAATAAGATTGATCCTTTTTTCCTAATATGTTAGTGTTGGTCTTGTTCTTCCTATTATATATGCGGACGATCATGAACTACTAGTAGTTTCTAGTCCTTTGGGTGTGCTCATAATTATGCCCCCCCTTCCTTGGTAGTCTTGCAGAACTAGTAGATTCATCTATTACTGTAGTTATGCATAATGGATAGAGACTACGACCAGGCTCTGACATCCACCATCTAAACAAAAAATAGTTTGGTGCATATAATATTCGAGGGCATCGATAAAACAAAAGAACCAAACAACTACTATTCCTTCTTGAATAGAAGATACAGTATTGTAGTTGATCATCATGTTAAACTCTGGAAGTATGCTATATAAGCATATACCGCGGATAAAGCGGAGATAATGACAACTCCATCAAGTAACCCCGCGGAGTTTTCGATGAGCGAATGTCACGCTGATTCCATGGGAAATAGAAGAATGTCCGTTGGCCTTGTGTCCTTGGCGTGAATAACTATAATGAAAATAAGCAGGGTTAGTCCGGAATATACCCTGTCCATATACAACAGTCACCAATGCAGGCGTGAAAAAGCTTGATATCGACAAGAGTAGACCGTCATGGATGCAACCAAAGAGGAATCACCGGGAAACGATTACATCTTACCCGAAAAGAGACCCCGCATCAGCGCCCCGCACCAGATATATAGTGGCAGGATTACGATTCAGTTATATTCGTGAGCTATGTTGTGACTCATTGCCGGTGTATAAATGCGACGCCATCTCAACAACTCCGAGCAGTCATTCTCCCAAGGCCATCGCAGCAATTCCTCCAACCCGAGAACACAATGTCCGGAAACCCTACGAGTCTAGAAGCTGATGAACGGGCAGCATACCTGCTAGACGCCCAAAACAAGGCCATCCAACTCTTTGATGAGATCGAGCGTGACCTTCTACGCTCTGGCGTCGGTGAAAAGCAACTAAGCGATGAGATCTACGCACTCGCCCAACGACATGGAGTGCGAACCCACTGGCACAAACGGGTCGTTCGGAGCGGCCCCAACACGTTGAGACCGTTTGCCGAGAATCCTCCGGATCGCATCATCCAGTCCGATGACATCCTGTATGTCGATCTAGGACCCGTCTTCGAAGCTTGGGAAGCGGACTTCGGGCGCACCTTTGTCCTCGGAGACGACCCGCATAAGAAACAGCTGCGTGATTCGCTTGAGCCCGTGTGGAACAAGGTCAAATCACGCTATCTTGCGAAAATCGATATGACGGGCGAAGAACTATATGAGATTGCATGTGATGAGGCGAAGCAAGCTGGGTGGGATTTTGGTGCTGATATCGCTGGGCATATTGTTGGGTCTTTCCCGCATGAACGCATCCCGAAGGATAGGGTTACTCTTTATATTGCCCGTGGGAATAATCGGCCGATGACTACTCCTGGTAAGGATGGGAAGACGCACCATTGGATCTTGGAGATTCATCTTCATGATCGGGTTCGTGGGCATGGTGCTTTCATGGAGCAGCTTTTGACTGTTGGATGAAGCTGGTTTTCTGATCGGTGATTGGGTTTGTAGGATGATGAGATGATTCATTACTTTAGGGTGTATTTAATGGCTCTACTTCTTGGATATAGTGTCTACAATACGTAAGCTTATCAAATGATCTGGTCGACCCCGAAGTGTCCCTAAATTCATTATTTCGTTGATTCTTAACGCCAGCAAGTGGGTACAAAATGTAACTGGTATTAGACCCACGGATACTGAACTTGTATACAAATTCTCCGCGAAGTCCAGCACTCTCAGCAGCTTCACTGTCGAAACATCTGCCTATTTATTCGAAACTAAACCAGCCCAGCCCCCAACACTAAACCCATTGAGGAAAGAATCAGGTAGTATCAGAATGTGAGGGACACCACCATGTGGAGTTGTTGAGTACTCCACAGCAAATTACTCCACGAGTTGGCTCTCTGTTTATCTTAAACTCCACTTCCTTTCGTACATGGCTTGAAAGGCTTTCAGCAAACCATTGCCATCCCGACAGTCAATCATGGCGCGATTTTGGAAGTCGATTGTATCAATATCTCTGCTGGCAGCAGCTTTGCCAGCGTGCTCCCAGCAAGTTTCCAAACGCCAGCCCGTTGGTGCTTCTGTCTGGACCAGTAGCGGATTCATCGAGGGCCATGCAGCGCCTGAGAGATCCAATGTCTCCGAATACTTGGGAATTCCATACGCGACGCCGCCAACGGGAGATCTTCGATTCGCACGTCCAGTAGCATACCATTCCAACTCTACTGTGCACGCGAGTACCTACGTGAGTGATGCGCCAGTGGTATTGAAGGAGCTGTGTAGCTAACAAAACCATAGAGCCCGTATGTGGAATTCAGACCCTTCAATCGACTCTACTTGAGCAATAACATATCCGTACCACAGAGACTGCCCTGCCAATATCGGCACAACCCCCGATAATTACCCTGGTTTCACTTCTCAAGCCCAAGGAATTATTCAAACTTTTGCCCAGCAGTTAGACACGCCTCAGAGTGAAGATTGCCTGTATCTGAACGTGTGGACCAAGCCCACAACATCTGCCTTAAAGCCCGTGCTCGTCTTTATTCATGGTGGTCGTAAGTGGATATCCTTCTCTTCCTTTGCATCTTCCATATGGCTGAAATCCCCCAGGGTTCTCCTTAGGTGGTGCACACAGTCCATACTATGATGGTCAAATATTGGTCGACGAGCAAGAGGTGGTAGTCGTAACTTTCAAGTTAGTCTTCCTTGATGGATACCTATATCTTGGTCCATTGACTAACAATCGCAAAGCTACCGATTAAATATCTTCGGTTTCTCAGGCGCACCGGGGTTTCCCCAGAACGTAGCGTTACTCGACCAGCGTCTCGCAGTGGAATGGGTCCATCACAACATCCAAGCATTCGGCGGAGACCCCAATCGCATCACAATCTTCGGACAATCAGCCGGCGGCGCGTCAGTCGACTACTACTCCTACATCTGGACCGAGAAGCCTCTCGTTAGCGGCCTCATCTCTCACTCAGGAACAGCACTAAGCTTCAAGCCCAACACGCCCGAGGAATCCGCCAGCTACTTCTATCACGTATCCCAAACCCTAGGCTGCGGAAACAGCACCACCAACACAAATCACATCATCCACTGCCTCCGTCAACAACCCTACAAATCAATCCTGAAAGCCGTCGCTAAAGTCCCAACCGCGCCCTCCCCCGTCCTCCCCCAACCCGTCTTCCACCCAACAGTAGACAATATAACTATCTTCAACAACTACGCCGAAAGATCAGCCTCCGGGAACTTCACCCGCATAGTCAGTCCCAGACCTCCCCCCCAAATCACCTCCCACAACAAAGAAGCAATTCATAACTAACCCCCTGCCAAACAGCCATACCTGGTAACCAGCAACGCCAACGAAGCAGGCTACTACCGCGTCAGCGCCTACGCCGCCAACATCTCCCACCCAGACCCCGTCTGGAACCTATTCAACCAAGCCGCCTTCACCTGCCCCTCGGGGCAAACAGCAGCCCACCGTGCCGCAGCCGGCGTGCCAACCTGGCAATCGCGCTACTTCGGCGACTGGGATAATCTCCGCTTATACCCATCCAGCGGCGCGTATCATGGCATCGATCTCCCCATGGTCTTCGGCACTGCTAGCAAGATCAGTGGGATAGCTGATTCAGAGACGGAACGCGAGTTCGCAAGGTATATGGCGTCAGCATGGGCTGCTTTTGCGGGAGATCCTGTGGCTGGATTGAGTCGGTTTGGATGGCCGAGATATGATGAGAATGGTGAGTTTGGTTTACTTCCCTTCTCTTTTTGGTTTCCTGGAGTCTGGGGATGGGGAAGCTGATTGTGATCTATAGAGGAAACGCTCGTGGGTCTTGCTTATGGGAATTCGACCGGGGCAAGGTTCTTTGTTCCTTCGTCATTTGAATGGGGTTGTAGGGATTTGAATGGTGATACGACTCCTGGGCAGGGTGCTTTCTAGTTAGATCTTGGGAATTGCTTCCCTTGTAGGAGTAGTCATAACAGGGTTTAGCATGAGGATTACTATTGTGTAGCGCCCTCGATAGAGAAACAGAGATTCTGATGGTATTGAGAACATGGGAATTTCCTTACTACCTACTCCGAAGTGAATACTCCATACATTATCAGCTGACCTCAAGCCTTAGGCTCATTCATGGATATCTATAACCTTGAACCTACGACTACTTACTACCCAAAATAGAAATAGACGAGTCAACCAATCAGTAACCAAGAACACAATTAAGGCCCCCTACTCTTAATAACCATCCTGATTGGATGTAAGCATCTAACTTCCGAGTTACTAGTAGAAGTGTGGTGTGCTTAGGTTGATTCTCTATACCTCGGGTGTACGCGTAAGGCCATGCAAAGAAATGGGGGATTTATAGACTGATATAATCAAAAATGCCGAGGTGAAAGGTGGGGTATTTGTGGATTAGTGACTTACTCCAAGGTATCTTGGGTACACGAAATATCGACCAATATCTTTCGCTCAGTTCATGTAAAATTCATTCACACAACTCCATTTGAACGATAGCAGATATACATACATTCGTACAATACATCCTTTTTTTTTTTTTTTTCTTAACGTCGAAATGGCCGATTTCTCGGAATATACTACGCCTATTGAAGAATGGCTTGTCTTGGAAAAATCACTCCCAGATATCCCGAAGGACTTGAGCATAGAGCAATTGAAGGCTGCGGCGAATCGCGATCGGGAGGCCTTGTCGGCCAAGGCTATGGTTGAGGAAGGTATGCTTGTTGTGTTTTTCGTTTGTACTTCTACGTGGTAGTAGTGGTTGTGGTTTTTTGGGGAATGGGGGGGTTTTGAAGAAGGTTTAAAGCTTACGGGAATGAACCAGGTCTGGTATCGCAGGTGTCGATGCAAGATTACAAGATCCCGACGCGGGATGGAGAGACGCTGGAAGCTCGCACTTACCGGCCGGCTTCGGTGCCTGCTACGCAGCGGTTACCGGTCTTTATCTTTTACCATGGGGGTGGGTTTATGATGGGCACTCTGAGTTCGGAGAATGCGATTTGCTCGCGCGTTGTCGTTGCCCAGGCGGCGGTTGGATCCCCCGTGGTGGTTGTTAATGTGAATTACCGTCATACCCCGGAGTACACGTATCCGACCGCATGGAATGATGCGGAGGATTCCTTTCACTGGGTTCATGACCATATTGATGAGATCAACGGCGAGGCGGAGAACGTGGTCGTCGGAGGTATTTCAGCAGGGGCCTATTTGGCGGTGTCTCTGACGCTGGCGCAGAACATCGGGGAGGATGTATCGTTGGCGCAGAGGCCTAAGGTCCGTGGCCAAGTACTCATGATCCCGCCCCTTGTTACGGAGGACTGTTATGCGTCGCAGGTTGCGCGGCTTCGTGATCCCGCCATCTCGAGTTATGTGGAGTGCGAGCATGCGCCGATTCTTCCCGTCAGTACGATGCGTTTGTTTGGGAAGTTGCTGAAGCCGGCTGCTAGTGGGTCGGACTTGGAAACTGATAGACGGATTAATCCGGGCCTTGCAACGGCGGATGAGGTCAAGGGTCTGCCGCCTACGACGTTCGGCATCGCAGGGAGGGATCCATTGAGAGATGAAGGGTTGTTGTTCGCGATGTTGCTGGCCGAGAATGGGTGAGGAGCCTGAGTGGAATTGTTTCGCGTGTGAAATGATTGATAGCTAACGGGTGGTGCGTTGCAGGGTGCCTACCGATGTTAATGTCTTCAAAGGGCTGCCACATGGGTTTAGACGTTATGGAAATAAGCTGTCTGCATCGAAGAAGTGGGATGAGGTTATGGCCCAGGGTATCCAGCATGCATTGAGCGATCCAGTGCCTGGTGAATTTATGATTAAAGCTCATTGAGTCTCATGTCGACATGATCGGATGTCAGAACTTGGAACATGTACCATAGCATGTCTTAGAATGCCACGCGTAGGGCAGGGAATTAGAGAGACTAGTAATACGCGGTATTTTATTCTCGGTGCTGATCATCCTCTCGAGCGATCAATGGAGACGGCGTTCTCCGTCGATAGAGTAATCGGAAGCATCGGCTTCGCTGTCCGAACGCACGCACGACGCGAGGGATCGGCAAAAATCCTGTAAATAGTAACCGTTGGCTTTTTCTGAAGTCCGACGAGCGACAAAAGTCCGTCGAGTTTCTCATTCTGCACAACGTGAAATGAGGAGCAAGGATAATTGCAAAGGGCACGTCAAGGTGTCATGTTGATTAATTGGCTTGGTTTGAGCCACGACCAGGGAGTCCGGGGTGTGGCTCGCCTGAACTGCGGATTTCACACAGCCACAACCATTGATCTCATTGGTGCAAGAGCTGTCAGTCCAGGATCTAGCGGCTTACCCTGTTGACATGGCGATGATGCACGGTTGCGGTTTAGTTCCGTGGAATCACTTTCTTCTTGAAACGTTCCATGTGGAGTGGATTGTTGGGACCAGGTCGTATTTGTCTTAGTAAATGGTCGCCTTCTGGACGGAGTAACGCCCAACCAAAACCTAATGAGATGAGCGAGGGGATTGCGGCTGAGCATACAGAATATGGCGTTGAAAATCATTGGTGGTATCGTCTCCAAGCCCTCATGTACTGTTATCTCTTGATCGTTGATCATCATACTGTATAGCCACTAACTGTGGTGAACCGAATCCCTTCGCGGATATGTACAGTAGCACGTCTTCTTTGGTGGAGAACAACGGACTGGCCTGGTGGGACCGGGCACGGTGTCATACTCCGTACGACTTGCCTGGAGTGATACCAATATGGATTTCTCCTAAAACATGGCTGTTAGCAAGCACCGAAGTGTGATTTCAGGCGCTCGTTTTATATTTCACGTAGTCAGGGAGAAGAGTCAAGCGAGGTAGCATTTTGTGTTTCAGGTTCACGCAATGGTAAAGTTGGCGGTCAGTTTGCATTGTTCGGTCTGGGTCGATTTCCATCACAACAGGCCCAAGCGTTCAGCCCCTCGGAGAAAAGGACACCATTCCAACACTATGGAAAGCTTGATTTACGGTGATTCTGCCTGGGAAAGAATATATGGTAAATTTCACACAAGCAAAGGACGCTTTTCACGCTCCCAATTCAAGCGGTTGCTCTTGGAGAGTAGAGCTCACTCCACCCAAGAAAGCACTATAATATAGGGCGCCATTGCCTGAGTTGATTCCGTGACGCTCCCTGTAGTGTCACCAACCCACAACTGTTGAGGTTAGGGGTACATGTGTGACAGTGAAGCCATCTCCTCTCGCCATGTATTTCACTGCGTCCCTTTCCTTCCCACCTTTGGCCAACCGCTCTTATCTTAATTGCACTGGGTGTACGCTATTCATTTGACGGCTCTCATATCGAGGCGCTGTTCACAGGATGCCAGTGATTGTTCGACATTAACGCAAGGGCCACTTAGGTCGCAGCGTGCATCTCAATTTCTCGAAACCCAGCAGTTCATATGGGAGTGGTTTCCGCCAATTCTAACCTACTTAATATGTCGTGTACCACATTAGTTGGTGTGCAAGATGTTGATCTGCCACGTCCACAGACCGGAGAAGTCCAGGTTCTGTTGATAATCTCCTCGTCTGATGGTAGATTGTTGAAGGAAAAAACCACTGATGTGCAGTGTTGTAAACGAGTCCTCGGAGATGCTAGCCTGAGGAACTATTGTTGTTGTGGTGGTGGTTGTGGTTGGGTTATTGGAGGACGCCACATCTTTATTGGCCTGGTTTCAGTGGCATTTTTGCGGTGGCTTAGCCAAGTGCAGATGAGACAGCCACAGCTGCCGATGAACAAGGATCTTTTAGCTGGTCCAGGTTTGAAATGCGAGTTTTATGAGGATGTTCGGACCGTTGACATGGTGGCAGAGACGGGTATGTGTAACTGGAGACTTTAATTGGTGGGTGATAATTAATTATGATACTAATCTGAAGGTAGGTGGAAGTGACTGTGTCTTTGTTACATGATTTTAGCTCTCAGTACAAAGGGGACTATGCATACCATATTAATCAAGATGCAGGATGGTTTGCTTTATTTCCCACCTCTGTTCTGCATGTCGAGCCTACTATATATAGTACGGAAGCGAAAGGGAGCATTTAAAAGGTACATCGCCGGGTCTTTCACGAATAGGGACATATGCACAGAACAAAGCCAATGATTAAACACAGTAATTATCTGGATAAGAAGGGGAAATGTGGAACGTTGCAGTGACTGCCTGCAGTGCCCAGCTCTTGTCTATCTGTCTGCCTAGGGTGAAGACCCATGGAACGCGTAACTGCTAACAACTACTCATCGAACTGCAGTCATTAAATAACCTTAATAGTTGCCCTATCGATGCTAACACGGGGATATATAGTCTCTAAGCGACACCGATCCACACACAATAATAGTATTGAATCTCTCCTCCCTCCTCCGGAGTACATTTCTCATGACTATATGGCCGCTAGTCATGTCTGATCTCTCATTCCGGTCGTTTTGAGGGGGTTAAACCATGGGTAAACGAGACCAGGTACGGAGGACCCAAGCGAATTAATTTGCCAGAGTCCAGACACAATCCCCGAGGATTCTGGCCCCATCACCATTTACCTGGTCTCCCGTCTCACAGGTTAAGATGGGTCCTTGACCCACTTGGAGTATACGCCGGTTCAGGAGAATCGAAGTTAGTGGCCCCCAGGGCCTCAGGCACTCGGTCGGCCTCGGATGTGATTGTTTGGATACATTACTCCATACGGAACACTCCGTAATTTATGAGGGAAAACTTTCAAAACAATGAGCAGAGCCTTTCTTGGCTGGGTGGCCTATACTTTGGGACGGGAAGTAAAAATGGTAACAATAGTTCAACGAAGAGTGGGAGACCCAGTTCCTCGGTGCAATAAAATGAAAACAAAAAATAAAAGTAACTATTAATAACAAACAGAAAAAGAAAAATATTGATGGGGAAATGGGTAGATTTTACCGTTAACTGTCAACCCAAGTGAGGCTATTAACTCCATGATTGAGGTTTCATTTCTCTTTTTTTATTTCTTTTTTCTTTCTTTCCCATAAGAGAAGGAGAGTGTCTGTATTTGTATACAATACATACATACTCTACAATTCTTCCGCGTGTCTGGATTGTTTCTCCTGTTGATTTTCTTTTTTCTTTTTCTTTTTTTTTTCCGCCCCAAACCCTGGAATACCACAAATTCTCAACCAAACCAAACAAAAAAAAAAGGTCCCTTCTCCAGACTCCAAATGATCGGTGGTCCTGTCAGTCAAATGACTGCGTAATTGCTGGTGAAGAATAATAAAAATCATAAAAAAAGGAAACGAACCTCTCAACTTCTCCTCCCGCAGCTTGAGGAGCCGACCTTACCTAACCTTTCAATCCTCATTCCTCGTGATTACTGGTATTATTATTCCTTCTCACCCGCATCTAATCGGCATTCCCCTATATTCAAACCACCTATTCCTATCGTCCCTCGTTCGACCACCCACTTTCGTTTTCGAATTCTTCCCCCCTCTCTCTCTTGATTCTTGGGGGATCGGTCAACCTATCAGTCGCCTTTAGTTGACCCATTTCCAGCCACTCGCTGAGAAGGGTCCTCGCGTGATTCTGCATGTGCTCAGCCTTACACCAGTCCTGAACGATCAATCGGAGTGTGCCTCTCCGCCCAACACACGACCCTTTACCCGTGGCTTGGCAGCCAACAGGCCTCCGTCTCTCGAAGAGTTTCCCAAGTCGCGCCTCCCCGTCCTCGTTCTCTTCTGTCCTCCTCGGGCCATCTTCCCCCCCGACCATTCATCGTTAGGCTGAACGAGGCTGTGGAGGCTTGTGCCTCAGGATCTGTCATCGTCGAAACCGCTAGGTTCGAGATTAGACCTCCTAAGCTGAAATCCTCCCATAGGATCGTCTAAATTAAAACTCTCCGACCCTCCTTCCCCGCCCTTGGTCTTCAGTTCCTAGACTTAATCTCTGCGCTTTCGCCGCCAACCGGTGGTCAGAACCGTCATATTGTATTCCAGAAGCGAGACTCCGGCGGACACGAGCTCCGTAACGGAGCCTATTGCCAAAATTCAGACCAACAATTCACGCGCCTCCCTCCTTGGGGGTTCATTCGACCCAGCATTTCGACGAGGTGGTGGTTTTCGAGGGCGAGAAGGGTATGCCAATGTGCCCCCGCACCCTAAGAAACGCAAGATGTATAAACCAAATTCAATGTGGACGTGGTCCTTCTGTATTGTGACCCTTTTCCAAGCAGTCGTCACACTCGCTCTAGAATGGTATGTGCTCGCACCACGGTTCCTAGAATGATATATCGCTGATGCTGACGGGGTACTTTGTAGTTATGTATTCGCAGACTTCCAGCTCAAACTCAAAGAGATAGCTGTCAATGTGACGGCATCCAAAACAATTCCGACCTTTTTAGCACTGTACAGTTTCGGTTTCATCTATGAGTTGGTGCTGGTCTACGATGCACTGCGCCTTAAGAATACCATTCAAGTCATCGGGCTATGTGTATGTAACGTTGGTCTACTGATTTATGGCGCCGTGCAAGTGGAGCAAATTAAGGATGCGATCGGAGTCTTGAATGACAATTCAGCCATTGACCCGGCTGTGTGGGGACAAATTAAACCTTTCCTGATCATTATCCCATGTGTTGTGGCCATGGGCACGCTGTTGATGATGATTGTTGCTTGGAAATTATATGATGAATTTGCGTGGTCCATCTACAAGCACATCAGCGCTGATCTGCGAATGAAGCGCCGATACCTCACATATCAGGTTTGTTGTGAACCACCTGGTGGATAAGGGATTCCAGCTGATTGAACGGGCAGATTTACATTGCGCTCCTCAAATTCGACTTCTTCTTTTTCCTTGGTTTTACTGTTCAGTTCGTGGTCATTGTCACTAACCGGCACGACGCCGAGTTTGCGCTCACTCTGGCGGCTATTCCGGTCACAATTTTGATTTTGTTAGCTGCTGCTCTATTCGTTCGGCGCGAAAGTTCTATTGGAATGATTGTAATCATTGTACGTGTTGATCGGTTACCCACTCTCAAGAAGTCCTCTAACCATTATCATAGCTCCTCTACTTTGCTGCGTTGGCGTATTTCTTGTTTAAGCTGTACCGCATTTACGACAAGAACACGTACCAGGAATATCTCCAAGCGCAACGGTCGTTGACATTCTTCGCCGTCATCACCCTCGTTCTCATCGTTATGACTATTATCAACGCTTGCATGTGTATGCACAATTTCCACAAGGGCTTGAAACCGCACGTGAATAGAAAAAAGGCCCGCAAAGAAGAGGAGAAGACCACGGAGCTGTCTTCAAACATTACTGGCCAAGTGCCTAATCGGATGATGATTGATTAAGCCCGACCATGGTCGGTACAATTTCATGATTTCAAGAGAACAACCTTTTGGTTCAATTGTCCATATACAACAACCCAGCGCTTTATCGGGACACAAATATCCACGTTATACGTTTGCGAACCGCGTACAATTCGCTCTTATATGTCGACTTGGATACTGTATTTTGAAGGTGTTTCCGGGATTTGCGATACGATACCTTTTACTGCATTGATCGATTTAGCTCACGATTTCCATTATCTTCTCCGTTTGCTGTCAGGGTTTCCCTTTTACTTCATTTCTCTTCCTCGCCCTTCCACATACAGCCTTATTAAATGGGCGCTGACAGCGTTCAATCGATGATTCCGACACCTGCACTTTGATATCCTTGCTTATGTCAATTTATTTTTCACGACTGTGCATCTCATATGTTATGTACTGTATCTATCATATAATTGGAATAAAATACATAGGAAGAACATGGATTACTTGGCTCGTAATCTAACTGAAGCAAGTAGGGATGTTGCTATACTTGAAATTTGGCAACAAAAATGCAGCATCTTCCACGGTATACACCAAGTGCGCTTACAACAACCGGTGAAGTTCAAATGCCTGTCATTTTGAGTGGGAAGGGGGATGCACAGGCGGCTTGTGGTTGGTGGAGGAAACTGGGGTAGGTCGGCGTGACGATACGTGACAGTACGGCCAATGGGAAATCGTGAGCGTGGCCTCTTTTGAGTGACTTGCGACCTCAACTCTCTCTGCCAGCTACAACTTAATTCCCCTTCCACTTCTAAGCCGACTTCCCTCCTTCTCCAACCAGCCCATTTTTCTTTTCTTCGTTCTTACATTTAATTTCGCTCAATTCTTTACGACATTCTTTGATTATCTTCATTTGACTACTGTTCAAAATGGTGAGTGTCCTTTGTGTGCCAACTGATCGTCCTTCGGCAGATGGGACTTCTATCGTGTCTCGACATCGCATTGGCTTTCTTACATCTCATTATGTTGGATCTCAATTCTCAATGGTGAGGCTAATACAAAAATAATTAAAGGCTTCTCCTCGTGCTGCTTCCCCCCTGACCTCTGGTGCCGAGTCTGGCCCAGACTCCAAGGCTTCTGGCTCTGGCGCTGGAGCTGCTGGCTCTGTTTCTTCCGTGGCCCGTACCTCCTCTCCCACTCCCCCCGGTGGTCCTCGAGCTGCTTTGCGTCGTCGCGCGGCTGCCGACCACAAGGAGTCTCTGCGCAATGCCAGACCCAGCTCGACTCGCGCTGCCGGTGCCGGTGGCTCTTCCGGTACCATGCTCAAGCTCTACACTGACGAGAGCCCTGGCTTGAGGGTCGACCCTGTTGTCGTCTTGGTTCTGAGCTTGGGCTTCATCTTTTCCGTCGTTGGTCTGCATGGTACGTAACGCCTGGAGTATGAAAACTTGACCTATGAGGGATACTAATGCATGTCCGGTTTTAGTCATTGCCAAGATCACTCGCAAGTTCTCCTCGTGATCAACGACTTTTCGTCTGCTCTCGCCATCACTCTCTTGCCTGCATCAAGCGACATCTAGTTTGACTGAATGGGGTTTTGAGTGAGCAGGTCTTTTTTTGCTATGCATAGCCGGTTCCTGCTCCTGGAACGATTTTGGCCATTCTGTGAGGGTCGCTTTTGGCGGGTTCACTCCCATACTCTCTTCTATCCTTTCGAAATAATATACCCCTTGGTGTCCGTTACCTATCCTTTGTCCTTGGTGCGCGGGGATCCTTAGATCTGATCGTCCGATACTTCGCGAAGTTGAGTGTTGAAAGCCTATCTGCAGCATAGGTTGGGAAGGTGTGCTGGTTGTTATGTTACGGTTGGGGCTACCTCCAACCCTTGTGACAGTTAATGAAGGATTTTCATGCCGAAAGTTTGGAAGGAAAGCTTTGTATAATATCAGTTGCTTTTTCAATGGGTACATGAACCTTAGAAGTTGATTGCATTGTAAGCGAATCGGGGTAGGACATCCGATATATTAGCCTAGGCGTTGATCCAGGCAAAATTCTCTGCCTGAGGAATCGGGTTAGCGCGGCGAGGACTTTCAATCTACTAGTGAGGAGTCCGCTTTTCTCTGTGTATTTTCTTGGATCAACCCGACTTCCCACTAGTACCGACCTAGGCTTGCATCGACAACGGTGGGATTCACTATTGAATGGAGAAGAGAGGTTGGCTCCACTCTGGCAAGTTGTGACTCCTTCTAGTTTCTCTCGTTCGATCATTCGGGATTAGATCCTCTAACGCTCCCCAGCTTCCGCACAATCGGGGGTCGTGGGGAATGCAGATAATTCATTACTCGAAACCTGGAGTAAGGGAAAGCGTTATCATGCCCAGGGGGCTTGTTTTCTAGCTTCTTTTTCATTGTTGGCGATTTACCTAAAAGCCGGGTCAGCATCCACTATCTTGATATCAGAAAGGCCCGTGTTCCTTATCAACCGTTTGCCAGCTCGGAACCAATCGACGATGGCGTTGATCCAACCTCCACTGATAAGGATGGGCGACGAAAACAAGACTAGCCAATGATAACGGGGGGATTGAGATCGACTCTGATAGGGATCTTGGGCCTTATGGATTGTCAATAAGCGATGGAAATAAGAAATCCCCGTGTCAGCTCGTCCATGCGCTGGTCCGCTGTGACGTTGCTAGAATACGAACATGAAGCCCTTATCAGGTTCCGGAAAGTCAGAACGACAATGACTGGGTTGAGCAGTCCAGAATCCCGATTCAATGGGACTAAGGATGTTGATCAGTCTGAGGTCTGCGAGGTCGGAGGTCTCCTATGCCCATGGTTGTACTACTTGAGATAGTATATGAATCAAGCCACCCTTCGTTTCCCTACGGATTTTCTTTCAGGAAGTATCAGACTGTTGAAGATCATTGGTTGTGGATCGCCACATAAACACTAGCCTATACTGTTATACTTGAGCTGCAATTCTATACCGAATATTAAGGTATACGTGCACGCAGGTCGACCATCTGAGGGTATCGTCCGACAAAGGCTGCAGTCATGTCGGAGACAGCCAACTTTGTTGCTCCCTTGTCCCAAGGGTTTGGCTATGGCATCATCGTCGGGTTAGGGTTTGCATTTGCTTTGGTGATGGTTTTCATTACCTGGGCCCTCAAGAGGTTAGTACGACCTCTCTACACCAATGCATGCATGCCATTCATTGGGGGACCGGGCTAACGGATCGTTCACTATAGATATCAGTACGAAGTTCAGACCTCTGAGATGTTTTCAACTGCAGGAAGATCCGTAAAGTCAGGTTTGGTTGCTGCTGCTGTCGTAAGTAGCTGGACTTGGGCTGCCACCCTTCTGCAATCCTCTGCAGTAGCTTATCAGTACGGGATTTCGGGACCATTCTTCTATGCATCAGGTTAGTGTGACTGAAGAAATAGTACGGCTTCACCATTAACGGCGTGGATCCTAGGTGCCTGCGTGCAGATTATTCTATTCGCAACGCTCGCCATTGAACTCAAAAGGCGAGCTCCGAATGCGCATACGTTTCTGGAAGTTATTCGCGCTCGATATGGCACTGCTGTCCATGTGGTCTTCATTATTTTTTGCTTGATGACCAACATTCTCGTCACTGCAATGTTGCTCACTGGTGGATCTGCTGTCTTGACATCCTTAACTGGGGTTAACACGGTTGCGGCTTGTTTCCTGCTGCCCATTGGTGTCGTGCTCTATACTCTCTTCGGTGGCATCAAGGCAACTTTTATTACAGACTATATGCACACTGTGGTTATCATCGTCGTTATATTCATCTATGCGTTCTCCGCTTACGCGACTAACGATACTCTTGGATCTCCGGGTAGAGTTTACGATGCTCTGGTTGCGGCGGCTGATCGTCATCCTGTGGAGGGTAATGCTCAGGGCAGTTATCTCACCATGCGATCAAAGGAGGGTGGTATCTTCTGGGTTATCAACCTTGTTGGTAAGTAACTACACGCATCCTTGTGCTTTGGCTTGACGCTAACTATGACCTAGGTAACTTTGGGTGTGTAGATACCCTGCGAAATCTTTGTTAATATATGCTAACTGTGTGTCTCAGGACCGTCTTCCTTGACAATGGCTACTACAACAAAGGTGTGTTAAACTCGAGATGGAATGGTGCTATGGCGCATAAGTACTGACTCCAATAGCTATTGCTGCGCACCCCGTGCATGCTTTTCCCGGATATGTTATTGGTGGCCTCTGCTGGTTCGCCATTCCTTGGCTCTGTGCCAGTACTATGGGAATATCTGCTCTTGCTCTTGAAGGGACTCAGCGCATGAGCTCGGAGGATGTAACTGCCGGCCTTGTCCTACCGTTTGCTGCTGTGAAGCTGCTGGGATACAGTGGAGCTGTCTGCACCACACTCATGATTTTCATGGCAGTCACATCAGCATTTTCGGCTCAGCTAATTGCGGTTTCTTCCATCCTGACATACGATATCTATCAAGCGTATATCAACCCCTCTGCAAAGGGCAAGAGATTAGTGTGGGTGTCTCACATGTCCTGTATTTTCTGGGCTATTGCCATGGCCAGTTTTGCAACAGGTCTCTACTACGCGGGTATCGGTATGGGCTACCTTTACTTGCTCATGGGTGTTATCATCTCCTCGGCGGTGTTCCCAGGAGCAATGACCCTCGTCTGGAAGGCACAAAACTGGGTCGCCGCAGCTGGATCACCTATTCTAGGCCTCGCCGTGTCCCTCATCGCATGGCTTGTAACCGCTAAAAAAGAATCCGGTGTATTGACCGTCGCTACCACCGGCGCAAAGTAAGCAACCTTCCCACGACCTTTACCCAATAAGATATCCCCAGCTAACAAAAAGCCCAGCTACCCCATGCTCGCTGGAAACGTCGCCGCCCTCCTCAGCCCCATCGTATTCTCCCCCGTCCTCACCTACGTCTTCGGTCCTCAAAACTACGACTACGAATCCATGCGCGCCATCCGCAAAGTTGATGATACAGACGTCACAGCAGCCGCACACGTCGACATCGAACTAATCCCCGGCGAAGCTAGTCCCGCCACCATCAACGACGCCAAAGAGCAAGAAGAGGAGCGCAAGCTCAACAGGGCCGCGCTCTACTCGCGCACCCTCACCATCGGCATGGTCCTGTGCTTCCTCCTCCTATGGCCGATCCCCATGTACGGCAGTTCATACGTGTTCAGCAAGAAGTTCTTTACCGGCTGGGTTGTCGTGGGCATCATCTGGCTTTTCTGCACGACTGTTGGGGTAGTCATTTTCCCACTGTATGAGGGAAGGGAGAGCATTATTCGGACGGCCAGGCTTATGGCTCTTGACGCCGTTGGTAGAAAGCCGAGGTTTGAGGGACAGGAACAGACTTCGTCTGGTGTTGCGACGCCGACGGAGAAAGTGGGTGCTAAATCGGATGTATAGTTTGCTTATTTGGTACGCAAGCTTCTGTTCGGGTTAGGATCGGGTAATCCCCAGGTGTAGGTTCATCCATACCTACTGATGTGATCGGGATTTTGTGTTTTGTGTTGATTATATACCCCATTTGTTCTACGCCAGTTATGCTATTAATGTTGTTAATAATTCTTACCGAATGAATGCACATATCACAAGAGCAACAACACCCATATATTAAAATAAAAGAAGCAAAAGGTATCGTACATACAACAGAATATACAAATCATTAACATCGCTTCTCAACCAGACCAAAGTCGGCATTCCCCTAAACCCTCAACAAAATAGAATAAGGAAAAAATAAGGCCACACCCACCCAGAATCACTTATACTGATAATTCTGCGGTGGTGCCCCGGCCTGAGGCTGGGGATATCCGCCTCCCCCTGACGCCTGGGGAGGTGGTCCCCAGTAGGCTTGTGGAGGTGGTGCTATGCCAGCCGGTGCACCTGCCGGAGGCCGGGTCTCTGGAGTGATATCGGGGCGATCACTTATCTGTTGTTAGTATAATTGATCGGACAGGGCCGTTTTTTTTTGGGACTCTGATTAAGGGATCCAGCTTACCGTAGGTCTTGGGTGAATCGGCATGTGTAGCATGTGACTTCCTGGAGGCTTGTTAATAACCATTACTCATTTGGTGTGAGCCGGAAATTGGTTCGATGAGATATTTACCTTATACTTATGTATTGCGAGTGGAATCATGGGCTAGTGGTTTACGGTTCATGTTAGTTGGATGTTCGAGCTGATAAAAAGAGAGCCATTGCGACCAGATCGGGAACATACAATGAAGCAGACGGTAAACCAGGGCCTAAGATAATTAGCATCCATCATCACTTTTTTTCTTTTTTCTTTTGTCTTTTTCAATGCGCCGAGTAAGTTAATAGGGAAAAGTAACATACCATCGCGTAATACAATGTCCATTGTAGTGTTGGCCTAATCCAACATCATGATTAGTCGGGTCAGGTACAAGCTAAACCAAGCACCGAGTAAACAACACTGGAGTAAACATACAGTTATGGCAGTAAGCCCTGACATTCTCGTAGCCTTCCAGCATGGACGTAAACTCTATTTAACCTGTTAGCCTAGTGCTTATGAGGATGAGAAGACTTCGTATTTAGAAATCGGCACATGGGAGTTTATTTCCGGTCGGTTGCGGAGGAATTAATATACACGGGGGAAATAGTATGCAGGCAAAGTGCGCTGTACGTACCATGCGTTCCGAACGTGATGCAGATTGCCATGGTAAATGGGGTTTTCGTGGATCCTGATATATAATACTAAGTGAATATATGACTTCCGGGTCTTGAGGATTTATGATCGCGGTGAGTTGGGTCGAGTTGGTGAGGGTTGAATCCAGGGCGAAAGGCAGCGTTATTATAAGGTCCCTTATTGGGGGTGACGTGTGGCGCTGTGGCTTGGCACTTGGCGCTTGGATGATACTCTTTTTTCTGGAATGCGTGGCACGTGTTTGGTGGTTTTGGTGGGTTTTGTTTTTGGTTAATGAATTGCTTGAGGTAATGAGGTGAGTGCTTTGTGTGTATTCAGTACTACCGTGGTGGCTGATTGGGACGCTCTACAGTTACTACTAAGGACTAGCTGCTACGGGCCTACTACTTACTACATTGTCCAGTACATTACAAGGCACTCCGGCAAACAGCACACAATCTGCTTGGCACGACCAATCTAACTCACATCAAGATACAATGGCAACTAAATTGAATCATGTAGGAGTCAAAAATTTAAATAAATACCGCTGAAGGGAAGGTAAGATTATGAAGCACCAATTGCCATGACGCCTGATCTCAGGGGCCAGTCCATCGTGTCGCGAGTCAAGTCCGATACGTCGCCGGCTTCTATTTTATCGCAGTATGCCCCAAGTGACAGCCAAAGCCCCAATCGCCCAAGGACTCGGTCCTCTTTTTATTTCCAACCATGTATGTCAAGGCGTGTTTATTGGGTCTTGAAGAGGAGAATGGCGCAGTGTCCGAGGTAGAAGTAAATGAAGTGTTTCGTCTCTGAACTGAATTAGTGATATTTTGGGAGGTTAGTGCAGAAGTTGGTACCGTGTGTAACAAAGCTTCCGAAATTCCTCCCTACGACACAATGCCATGTAGCTCCTTTGCGCGAGTCAAACTGTAGACCGTGAGTGAGGGATGGTGGTGTTATCGAAGGAAACGCTAACCTCTCGCTTGATATACTGAGCAATGTCCTGATAATAATTAGCATCCTGCCAAGTTGGGGAGAAATCAGCAATCATTATGACCAACCTTCTCAATGTGGTACTTCTCCATTGCCTCGATCGCTAAACAATTAGTCGCAATCACCTCCGTCGGGATACCCGATGAATCATACCGACTTCGACAGCTTCCTGCTGCATATCCTCCGTCTTTCAAACCATAAGCAATTATCCCTTCAATTATGGTGGCGACACTCTTACCATATCAACGGACTTGATTTGCGCTGCCCAATAATGTTAGTCAGTGTGATGATGCCGCTGAACTTGCACTCACGCTCCAGCTTATCCTTCTTTTCGGAAGACATCTTGTAGGTTGAGTGTGCACGAAAAGTTCAAAAATGAACAATGGAGTAAACCGGAGATGTGCGTCTTTGAAGTAGTCCAACAGTACACAGCGTTCCGCCGAATTGTCTCTGGGAGTAGACGTTGGGCTATCGTACTTGCTGAGGAGCAACCGTGTGGATACGCACGGGCCATGCCCACCTTCCTCACCGCCTTCGTCGGCACTATAAGGAAGCGGCATAAACTAAAAAAATTTTGGAGCTTTTTTTTTCCCTTCTATACATTCCATTCCCTGCTGGCTTTGGGAAAGGCAGCCACAGGACACAATCATGGAAAGCACAAGAGTATTTGTCTCTGGCCTTCCGCCAACATTCTCCAATGATCAACTTAGGAAACATTTTGCTACTCGCTTCCAAGTTACCGATGCTCATGTATTACCCAAACGCAGGATTGGCTTTGTGGGCTTAAAGACCCCCGAGGCGGCCAAGGAAGCTGCTAAATACTTCAACAAGACTTATGTCAAGATGTCAAAGATCTCAGTAGATATTGCTAAACCGGTATGTGGCTTCCTGGTGATCTGGCTTTCTGTTTCCTTGTCCCATTGCGCACGCTGACCGATAAAGGTGGTCTTGAGACTGACCAGAATTGCTTTAGATCGACTCCGAACCTACCAGTGCTGCTCATAGGTTTAAGAATGGTGATAAGCCTGATTACACGGCAGAGAATGCACTCAAACGTAAACGCGATGGGGAGCCCGCCCAGCAGGACCCTAAGCTGCAAGAGTATCTTTCCCTCATGCAACACTCATCACACACAAAGACATGGGCCAATGATGATGCCGTGATAAATCCTGTTGCAAATGACTCACCTGCCAAGGACCAGCCCGTTGAAGCAGATGAGGTTCCCCAGGAACTTACCTATGCTCAAAGGAAGAAGGCAAAGCTCGGGGAGACATCCGGGGAAGATGTCAATGTGTCACGGCATGATGAGCCTGAACCTATGGTTGTTGATGCGAGTGGGGAAGATAATACTACCGAGCAAGCAATGAACCAAGAACAGCCCGCTGTTCAGGAAGAAGAAGAAGAAGAACAACCGGTATCTGACACTGACTGGCTTCGGTCGAAGACAAGCCGCCTTCTCGGTCTACTAGACGAAGAGGAACAAGCAGAGTTTAACTCTGCAGCGCAAAGGCCTACCGATTCAACGGAGCCAGCAGCTGATGCTGAAGTTGACACTGAAAACGCAGCGGCTGATCTTTCCCCAGCCGCAGCTGATGCTGCAGAGCCGACAAAGGCCCCGGAAGTTGACACCAATATTGAGAACATTCGCATTTCAGCCCGCTTATTTGTGAGGAACTTGTCTTACGATACAAAGGAGTCCGATCTCGAACCAGTATTCGCTCCCTTTGGCAGGATTGAAGAGGTTAGTCCTTCCATTATCATTCTGCGTGCCCCTGCCTTTCCTTTTCCCCATTCCATGCAAAGTTGCTCGCATGATGATCATCCTGATAGGGACATCAGATGCAAAAGCACATGATGTGACCAGGACAAGAGAATTTTAGTAGATGCCTCTTAGTATCTGAAGAGCAACATATCCTGAACTTAACATTGGATTCACTGTGGTTTTAAATTCGTGAGACAATTGCTGATTTGCTTAGATTCATGTTGCCTTTGATACTCGGTTCAGCTCCAGCAAAGGATTTGCGTACGTTCAGTATGTTGAATCCGACGCGGCCGTAGAGGCTTACAAAGCCCTTGACGGAAAACACTTCCAAGGTCGTTTATTGCACATCCTGCCAGCTGCTGCAAAGAAGACGTACAAGATCGACGATTATGAGTTGTCCAAGTTACCTTTGAAGAAACAAAAACAGATAAAGCGAAAGCTAGAGTCTACTTCTTCAACCTTCAGCTGGAACTCACTTTATATGAACGTAAGTCAGTTTGGGATGTAGTCCAACAATATGATATACTAACGAGTCACTTCTAGGCCGATGCAGTTATGTCGTCAATGGCTGAGAGACTCGGTATATCAAAAGCAGATCTCTTGGATCCTACTTCGTCCGATGCCGCAGTAAAACAAGCTCATGCTGAAACGCATGTTATTCAAGAAACGAAGGCTTACTTTACTGCAAATGGTGTCAACATCGATGCCTTTAAAGAACGAGAGCGTGGAAACACTGCTATCTTAGTAAAGAACTTTTCTTATGGCGTCAAGACTGACGAGCTTAGGAAATTGTTCGAGCCGTATGGCCAACTCACAAGACTACTCATGCCTCCTAGTGGCACAATAGCTATTGTTGAGTTTGCAAGGCCGGATGAGGCTCAAAAGGCATTCAAGGGTCTGGCGTATCGAAAACTCGGAGATTCCATCCTGTTCCTAGAAAAAGCCCCCAAGAACCTTTTCGACGCATCTGTTGTCCCGCAGAAGCCAGTCGTGGAGACTAAAGCCATCTCTCAAGGATTCTCAACTGCTGACACGTTCGCAGCAGAAGAGCCTGAGGAGGCCATTGCTACCGCAACTCTTTTCGTAAAGAATCTCAACTTCGATACAACGAATGCACGTTTCGTTGAAGTCTTCCAGCCATTGGATGGGTTTGTTTCGGCGAGGATCAAGACCAAGCCCGACCCCAAGCGCCCTGGTCAGACGCTCAGCATGGGCTTTGGCTTTGTTGACTTTAGGACCAAGGATCAAGCCCAAGCCGCTCTTGCTGCAATGAACGGATACAAGCTTGATCAGCATGCACTGGTAGTTAGGTCATCGCATAAAGGTATGGACGCTGCTGAAGAAAGACGACGTGAAGATACTGCGAAGAAGATCGCAGCCAGGCGGACGAAGATCATCATTAAGAACTTGCCGTTCCAAGCGACCAAGAAGGATGTCAGATCACTCTTTGGAGCCTACGGCCAGCTTCGCTCTGTGCGTGTTCCTAAGAAATTTGACCGGTCGGCTCGTGGTTTCGGTTTTGCAGACTTCGTAAGCGCTCGCGAAGCGGAAAATGCCATGGACGCGCTGAAGAACACCCATTTGTTGGGCAGGAAATTGGTATTGGAATTTGCAAACGAGGAGGCCATCGATGCGGAACAAGAGATCCAACAGATCGAAAAGAAAGTAGGGGAGCAGATGGACCGCATCAAACTACAGAAGCTCACGGGAGCCGGACGGAAAAAATTTACTGTAGGGGCCCAGGACGAGGAAGACTAAAGTCTCCTCTCCTTCTGCCCTTCTCCCTGTTGATAGGGTTAATGAATAGTAATGGTGCTGCTATCTTTGTGTTTTGTGAGATATACCCCTTGCTTGGCGGCACACCTTGGGCCTTCCACACGTTCCTGCTGTCAGGACTGTGCCTGCAGACGCGTCCTGCAAAGATCCGTCGCCTCGTGCATCTTAATGAAGCTTTATCTTTTTTTTATCCCCATGTATCCTTGTTCAATCCTCGCATCTCGTCTACCCCTCGACCTCTACTGTTTCCTTTCGTATATTTGAACCCTGGATATCAAGTTGAGAGCAGGGTGAGATGGCTGTTTCCACCTACATTCCGGTCGCTCTGTCTGTAACCCACCAAGCATTCTTGGATGATCGCCTCAGGAGATGTTGTTGGATGCTGGGCATTCCAAAGAGAGGTCTTTGCCACAATTTCGCCCATCATTGCTCATCTGTACCTGATTTACATGCGACAGTCAGTGGTCATGTCGTGCAGACCAAAAATCCCCGGGCAGCGGCTCGCTGAATCGTGCACCCTGGATGTCCCCTTGCATGGATAGCCGGCGTCCACAGTGCATCACCCTTCCTCCTGATTTGCTGCAACAAGGCGGCACCTGCTCGTCCCTCTCTCATCGCCCTGATCGACGCGTGAAGCTCAGGTCAAGGGTTCCCCGCGCCTAGGGCTACGGATGCTACCCTCGAGGGGGTTTTCCCAAACAAGCAGCGTGGTCCAGCAATGTAGCTGCTGGGGCTACCTTCGCGCTCCTTCAGCAGGGGAGGGAATGGGTTCCCTATAAACATCATGCTCTTCGCCCGAACATTCTCTTTTCCAGGTTCTTACATTTTTTCCAATAACTCCGTTCTTTGCCGGACAAGAAGTATTTGTGACCCTCATCTTCCTCCTCTGTGGAATCTGTCATTCTTCCGAGAGCCTATTCGAGGTGGTCCGCTCCATGGCTGAGTGGCAGACCGAATGTATGTTGCCTCCAACCCATCCAGGTCTTGAAGGTGTAGGACCCCATCCAGGTCGAGTGCTTCAGAACACCTCGGGGAACATACAGTCCTACTCAGACACCCTGGCGCACACCGATCCCACCGGGCGTGACGACCATTTTTCACATTATGGTTTCAAGTATCCTCATCAACCCCCGGTCCCAACTCACCCAATGCCTACCACTACCGGTCTCCATCCCCAACAAGTTATAAACAACCGTTTCCATACAAAGAAACTGCGGCGTCTCCAATCACTTGGTCCTAACCTGGTTGGACCCCGCAGGACAAGAAGTTATCTCAAGTCCCAAAAGTACATAGAGTACAGGGCACGGCCTCGCCGAGATACTGGAAAGGATGGAGAACCCGTTTGGTCAGATGAGCTTGAGGATGCTTTCCAGCAAGGTGAGACGATGTCAGCTGCCACATAAGGAGAATGTTCTAACAATATCAGCCCTTGAGGCGAACCCCCCAATGGGGAGAAGGAAATGGTCTGAACGCGGGAAATCCTATGGTCGAAATGAACTGATAGCCGAGTACATCTACAAAACTACTGGGAAAAGGAGGTCGAGGAAGCAGGTGTCTAGCCACCTGCAAGTCCTTGATTCTTTTCTCAAGGGTGATCCTGATTGTATGTCCTGCCTAGACCGCCTTCGATAAGACAGACTCAGATCTAACTAGGCATTTGCAGGGGAGAGGCTTGTACGGGAGCAACCGGCAGACCGTTCGAATGGCCAGCCACCATCAGCCGGTCCTCGCTGGAGAAATTCGATGGAACTCCCATTCTCCAGCCATTACAATAGTCACAGTTATCCCTCCTATCATGACTCGTTGAGGCCGGTGCAATCTTACTCCGGGGAGCTGCCCCCTCCACACGTTGTTTTCAATCCAAATTTGCACTCCGAGGCAACGAACGTTAATATGATCTATGGCCTCAGCTTTGACATGTGGGTGAGCGCGCCGAGTCAGCCAGAGCGGATCGAGAGTGCATTCCATACCTACACCCGCCTCCAAGGGGACCAACGTCACCCTGGTGCACCTCCAAAACGCTTGGAGAATATCTCCAATTGGCGGACATTGTTTCCCCATCTTAACTCCGTCATGGCAGATGTTAACAACCCACTGAACTGTGAGATCATCTTACTGGAGGCCAATCTTCGATTGATGGATGATTTCCCTCCGTCCGGCTCGAAACTTGGGATCCAGCTGGAGCTGGACTTCGCCCAGCCTTCCAACGGCGATTCACTGACGAACCAGATGGAGAATTGGTCGTGCAGCACCTATATCTACGAGGAAGGTCAAAACGTATTCAAAGCACATCACAACCTCCCTAGACAGCAGTCGAACAAAGTGAAACCTCCATTTGAATCTTCGTGGTGGGCAAAGCGTTTCACGGAACTCACGGAACTCGCCCAAGACAGACAAGTAAACGAGGTTGCTGATAGGCAAACGAGAGACTACTTCCGCACATTAACGGTAGTTCAAGAAATACGGGCTACTCCTAGTTCTCGTCGGCTATCGAACCAGTACCCTGACAACTCCCAGGATGACAGCAAAAGAATGGCCATCTTGCTTTGGCAATTCCGGCAAACGCGACCGAACGAAGTTGGCACTACCACATGGCGCCGGGTGACTTCGCCAACTTCCGACCGTAATACTATCCCTAGCCCGAAGCCCGTAACGGGGATCGACCTCCCTCCCTTGTCCTTTGATACAAACTCTCTAGCTAGGCCCGCCCCAAGCATTTACCAAGCCCCTCAGTCACACGACTTGGTGCATCACGGTGGTGCTTCGCAACCTCAATGGTCGATGTACCAACCGTCGCAGGACAGCATATTCAATGCACCCGGAGGCTTTGACCTTCTCAACTCTATCACCAAGCCAGAGGGTGGCCTTCATGACAAGACTGCCGTCACCTCGGTGCTAGACACCTACCCTAATCTGCAACCTGAAGTCAGCCAGCCAGCGAGCCTCAATGGTTCTACTGGAGGACCAGGAATGCTTAGCATACCCGATATGTCACTTTCACACACTAATCTCAATGCGTACAACCTTAGTGGGCATGATAACCACTACGGAACGTCCCAGCATCCTGGGGTGAGCGTGCCTGATAACAGCCATGTCTTAAACAATGGCATATTTGGGTCCAGCACTCAATCCATCGATGAGATGAGTCAGACCCACGCACCTTGGCCGACTCCAACCTCGAGTATCACTGATGTTGGCTCGAGCAACTATAGCCACCTGCAATTTTCTGATCACCATGTGCCGTCTGTCTCTCGAGAGTCCCACCAGCCCAACCACTTTGAGGTCTTACTGGGCCCAGACGATCTCATCGTGGGGAGTATGTCCGGTGATCCTGGGATGCATGGGGCGGGTCATGGCCACATGAACCATGCCTATACTGAGAACAATGCGGTCGAGGCCGCATAACGAAGAACTACTTTATAATTTGGACGAAGGATGTCCCTTAATGATAATAATGGCAAACAAAAGTGTGGCTGGGTTTCGGGATTTTCTGTTTTAATTTCTGGCACCGGAGTTTTGTGGGGGATACTGGAGCATGCTCTGCCAGGGGTCTTATTGGTTTTTTTCTCAACTTTGTGATGTAGTTTTAGTCTGATACCAATTCTGTAGTTATACACAATATTTAATGCCAAAGGCGTCCATTGTACCGAGTAGGTTGTTGTTTCATACTTTATCCTTGAGCAATTGGTGGGATTTGTGGTCCCGTGATGGATCCAACACAGACAGTGACCAATTGGGTTTGGCGCTGGTCTGTATTTACCCGGAGACCTTCATTTAGCCGGAATAGTATCTCGTTGAGCGCTACTTTAGCCTCAAGACAGTTCCATTCATCCTCGCGTGAGTGGTCTTGTCGGCCCGGCTGGCCTGGACCGTGTCGCATTTACCCCGAGTTGGTATGGCTGTGCCCCAAATGAGGGCTTTCTGGAAGAATATGTGCGGGACAATCTCCAAAAGCTGATTTATGCCCCTCCTTTTCTCTGCGGATACATCCCTCCTTTCTTTTAAAACTCTGTACTCTCCTCTCAATTGCAGTCACGCTGTCGTTCTTCTGGTTAAGCGCAATCCCTACACACAATCATCACCATGGCTTCTCCCACTGTCAAGCTGAACAGCGGATTTGACATGCCCCTCGTGGGCTTTGGCCTCTGGAAGGTAAACAACGAGACATGCGCGGACCAGGTTTATGAGGCCATCAAGGCGGGATATCGTCTTTTTGACGGCGCATGCGGTATGTGACCACCTCCTGCTGCAAATTCTTTAAATGATCTAATACGGTTATGCAGACTACGGCAACGAAGTCGAATGCGGTCAGGGTGTCGCCCGCGCCATCAAGGAGGGCATTGTCAAGCGCGAGGAACTCTTCATTGTTTCCAAGCTGTGGAACAGTTTCCACGAGGGCGACCGCGTTGAGCCCGTCTGCCGCAAGCAGCTGGCTGACTGGGGCGTCGACTACTTCGACCTGTACATCGTGCACTTTCCCGTTGCCCTGAAGTACGTTGACCCGGCTGTGCGCTACCCACCTGGATGGAACTCGGAGAGCGGCAAGATCGAATTCAGCAACGCTACCATCCAGGAGACCTGGACGGCGATGGAGTCGCTGGTCGACAAGAAGCTCGCTCGCAGCATCGGCGTTAGCAACTTCAGCGCCCAGCTGCTCATGGACCTCCTCCGGTATGCGCGCGTCCGTCCCGCTACCCTCCAGATTGAACACCACCCCTACCTTACCCAGCCGCGTCTGGTCGAGTATGCCCAGAAAGAGGGCATCGCTGTCACTGCGTACTCGTCTTTCGGACCTCTGAGCTTCCTCGAGTTGGAGGTGAGGAATGCCGTCGATACCCCTCCTTTGTTCGAGCACAACACCATTAAGAGCCTCGCCGAGAAGTATGGCAAGACCCCGGCTCAGGTGCTACTGCGCTGGGCCACCCAGCGCGGCATTGCTGTCATCCCGAAGAGCAACAACCCCACCCGTCTGTCACAGAACCTGGAGGTCACTGGTTTCGATCTGGAGAAGAGTGAGTTAGAGTCCATCAGCTCGTTGGACAAGGGCTTGCGATTCAATGACCCTATTGGATACGGAATGTACGTTCCTATCTTCTAAGTTGGACGTTGCACCTGAGAGATGCGTGATGATTTGCGATGTAAAAATGTACATGATGATTTGAGTAAATAGCCATGATAAACCCATTGACAAAGACCCATAAATGATATCTACCTATGCCTAGTAATGGTAACGGAGTAATCTCTTTCGGACGTTACCGCCCACTGGGGCCGATATGCTTTCTTGGCCCCGAAAGATTTAGTCTGAATGGCTGACTCGCCCTGTTCATCATTCCTCTGTACAATTATTATGCTTAAGATCAAACATTCCAGGTTTGGCTTGATCCATGTTCCACCAGAAGATAACTAACTCATTCAAACCGGTACATTCTTGAAATCTCCATAAAAGAAGACTCTTCACCTAGTATACCATACCTGAGTTAGTAGTACCTAATAGAGTTTCCCAACTACAAATCCCACGCCAAGACCAAGCTCCCTTATCAACACTATCAATCAATCAATCAATTATTTTCTCCAACTCCACTCCCTCAATCCCCAATTCAACCACAACTACAACGCCCCAAACCACCAAAACCAAAAAGAAAAAAAGAAAAAGAAAGCAATAGAAAGAACAAAATGGCCGCTCGCCTCGCAAGCCAGTCAATCCACATAACAACAACCCCAATGCCACGTTCCTTAACAGAAAGCAAACAAATCCTGTCCGCGCTCCAGAAATTCGGCGAAGTAGTGACCTTCCGCAACCTCAAGGTAAAACCATCCCAAAATACCATACGACCTTCATCCAAAATCAATAACTAACAAGAGGAATGAAATTAAAATGAAAAGTACGACACAACAAACACATCCCCAAACCCTGCCTCCCGATCTATAATTGCGATTTTCGAATCGCCCTCCTCCGCATCGCAAGCCATCGCCGCCTCCCCACTCACAATCCCTCTTGTTCAACCGCCACCACAACCCCAGTCGCAATCGTATCTACCGCCTAGAGAACCAGGAACGCCGTCCCCGGATCCCTGGGCCTCGAGTGAAAATGCCGCCGTCCAGTCTCATATCACCTGTACTATCCAGCCGTCGCGACATAACCATGAGTCTGCGCTGCGGCGGAACCCGTTCCATACGTTGTTCCATGTTAATGGGAAGAGTTGGCAGGCGAGGGATTTGGTGAAAACTGGGATTCCGCTGAGGGAGTTGGCGGATGTGCCCCTGGCGAGGAAGAGTCATGAGCCGTTTAGGGTGAAGAGGAAGGTGCAGGCGGAGAATGAGCGGTTGGGGGCTACGAGTTTGATGGCGCTTTATGAGGGAGGGCTTAGGGGGGAAGAGGGTGGGGATGGGTCGAATTCTGGGGAGAGGACGGTTGAGGGTAAGGACATGGAGGTGGATTGAGGATGGGTTGGCTTGGGCAATGCGACGTGCGTGTGAGTGTGCATGCACGCATTAGGATGCTCTGTTGGTCTTGTTGGGCGTGATGCTGCATCGCTGTCTTCCAGGGCGGATAGAGAGACTTTTCCCGGCACGACTGTTGAGCGATGCTCAGCTAGTGCCCGTCAGGCTATGGACGATCTGTAGATCGTTCCAGAGGTCGAGCAGGCTCGAAGTATACCTCCTCAAAGCGAGGTATCACATCGTAAACACAGAGAATATGAAGTTTCTCTTAATCTACATGTAACATAGGAGATGTATAGGAATGAAATCCGCTTTCCATTAACCATGATTTCCATTGTATCATCAGCCATGCCAGTCCTAGTACGGTAATTAAGCTATTCTCACAAACGCTACGACTGTCAGTATACACATACACTCTGAGGCCTGGAAGACTGCACTTACTAGCGTCAATCTGCATAATGTGCGGTATCGCTAAGCGCACCTTATTCCGGTACACTGCAGGCCCCTTCGTCTGCAACGGGTTGCCCTCAAAGTAGACCGTCTGTAGCTTCTCCTTATCCTTCAGCTCCTTCTCCACCTCATCGAAGCTAGACAACTGGTTGTTCGACCCCCAGAGCTCCTCTAGGTTCGTCAAATGCGATAGATGCTCGAGCTTAGAGACCTGATTGTTCGAAAAGTCAAGAACGCGTAGATTGGTGTTCGATTCGAGACCGCTGAGCTCGGTAATAGCGTTATGAGAGACGTAAAGCTCTTCGAGGTTCTTGAGGGAGGAGAGTCCGTTCAAACTAGTGAGTCTGTTTGACTGAATAGAGAGGATTTTGAGGTTCTGCAAAGCATCTAGATTCTGTAGAACGTCAACACATCAACACCCCAAGGTCCAACACGCGGGAACACGACATACCTTGAACTCAGTGATCTTATTCTTCCCGAGCCACAGTTCCTCCAGAGACGTCAACGACTCAAGGTTCTCGATTTCCTACCACCCATCCGGTCAGCATAAAACCCTCCCATGCACCCACTCTCGCAATTGAAGCACCCACCCTGATCCGGTTAGCACCCAGCTCTAAATTCCTCAACAGCTTCAGCTCCTCTAGCCCTTCAATCTTCGAAATCTTGTTCTGCACAAAGTACAGGTCCGTCAACTTGACCAGATGCGAGATGTTCTTGATATGCTTAATCTTATTGAAGCTCAGGTCCAGACTAGTCAGATCCTTGAACTCATCTAGGCCCTTCACATGCGAAATAAGGTTATCGTAGAGATCGAGCTCGACCAGCGACCCGGCGATTTCAGAAGGAAACGCGATCCGCGTTATTTGGTTCTGCCGCAGACATATTCTCTAGAAACCCCGCCGTTAATTCCGGATCCTGATCGCCAACCTTCCCCTTTCATTTCACGGCGCACACCGATATCGTACCTGTACTTTAGGAAATCGCTCTAGATGTAAAGCCGGGACGGACGCAATACGACAATGGACGAGATCGATCTCCTAGATAAACACTCACTCGGTCAGTTTCGGTTCTCACACCGCATGAACCAGCAGACAAAATGATTCACGCACCTCAGTATCCTTGTCCTCATCCTCTAGCAAGTCTACCACAAAGGATCCAAATGAGCACCCACTTCCAAACCCCTCATCGGGTCAAAAACATTACCTTCGTCGGCCTCGATCTCCTCTACCGGCGGCGCATCCTCATCCGAGTAATCCGGGTCTTCTATGGCCTCTGGATTCGTAATGGTTGCCTGGGGACCGACTCTCAGTTTTCCGTCCCACCCTTTGCTGTCCTTCATCGTGGCGGGGAGGTATGTAGATTATTTTTCCCTTTTTATTTTAATTTTTTTTTTCTGCGCGTGGTTGGAGGTGGTTTGATGCGGGGAGCTTTTTTGGCCGGTGGGTCGAATGACGGTATGTATGTAATTTTAGTACGTATCTTGTAATTTGTAGATCGGTATTGATGTACCTAATTTAGGAAGGATGTTAGTAGATTAAGGGGTCCCATCAGAACGACAACGACTTGGTCAGTGAGTGGGGAGGGATTAAATTGACGCTCGGAATTAACGGTTTCCTCTTCTCCTCAGAGGATTGCCTTCTGAGGATTGTGGTTCATAATGCGGCATTTATTGTGTTCCATACGGCATTCATTCAAATGAATTAAATTTGCTGACCTATCTCCCACTGGTGGAGTTTCATAGATCAATGTCATTCACTTTCTTCTACTCCGTATACTCTCACTTCGAACAGTAGTGTGCTTGATTAAAATCCATTCGGGCTACTAAAACAGGGGGTGTTGTGTTGAAGGACGACGCTTTTATGTACATATAGCACGTACGCCAATGATACATATACATTGGTGGCAATCGATAGTCCAGATCCTGTATCGATAGGAAACTATGAGGTAGTACCGGAAACAGTGACGCGCACACATAGATGGCGATGCCACTCGCTAGTGAGGTCTCCAAAACAAATCATGGCTGACAAGTTGACAAAACACGCTGGGGTTTTGGTGGTGATCACAGATACGAAACAAAACAGCTAGGAAATCGAGCGATGGCAGTGTCAGGCCCCTTAGGGGCGATGGGAGGTTTAGACAAAAATTGAGAAAAAGAAAGAATTCAGATGAAAAGGGAATGTAAATTTGCGTATACATGAGATCAGCGAAAAAGGTTTTTAGGCTGATGGCCAAGACAGACGCCTACAGAATGCAAAAAAACGGGGGGGATCACAGGGGAGTTTCGAGGAAATGAATCAAAATCACAGGGGGTCAGAAAGGTATTCACTCGCTTGGAGCGTAGACAAAAGGACATGGCTAGAAGTCCAGCAGATGCGAACAGGAGAAAGGTTTAAGAAAGAAACACAACGCAAATAAAAAGCACACATGCACTATTGAACTGTCGGGTCTCATGAGCGCCTTCAGATGCGCGGTTCGCTCACGAAGCACTCTAACTCTCATCTGGCATCTCAAAGGCGAGAGAGGGCTCGACGTATCGGCGGGTATTGAACAAAGGAAATCGACCGAAATTTATCTTTTCTATGATCTGATGGTGCCCGCAAGGCGAAAAATAACCAAACCAAGCACGCTGAAATGAAATGCCGGGCTAGTGTGTACAGACATTACAATGCAATGTCAAGAACCAGACTCACGTCTTGCACTTGTGTACCAGCGAGATCTTCCAGAACGGGGATCAGATCAAGAAGCTCATTATCATGGGCGTCAGAGAACCAGCTGCTGATGGGTATCGCGTGTTGAGGGTGGAATATATAGGACGTGGGAGAATTATCGATAATTATCGTGTCTCGAAGGTCACGACCAACTTGAGAAAGATCCTATATAAGAATTAGAGGAGTTGAACGGGTAATGTGGAGATCACAAGAACACCGACCTTCACATAGTTGCCTTGGTGGTTGTAGCAACTGTCCCTGAAAAGCCGGTGGTGGACAACATTGTGGATGTCCAGTTGATCCAACAATGGATCGCCGTACTGAGAACAGGTTAGCGTGAGGCGGTTTCAAAGATATATGTTAACAATACTCACCTTCGAGACAGATGCCGTAAACACAACAACTTCGTACAGCTCCCCGACCCGTTTCATGAACTGGTCGACCCCGGGCCGCTTGATCACATAGATATTATGGTATTGACCCTCGATCTCCACGGGAATGGTGAAATCAGCTCGCTCAAGAACCTTAAAACTACTATGGACCAAGGTTTCATCCAAGTCGAGGACCAGGCATTTCCGGTCGCGTAAGTGAGGCTGAGGTGGGGGGAGAAGCCATTGTTGCTCCCTGTCGTGACTATCGTTTTCTGGCTGTTGCTCTGAAGGAAAGAGTGGCGGGGGCGGCGGCGGTAGCTCGGCTGGTAGATCAGTTGCCTCTTCTTCGTGCGTGGAGTACTTCTCGTCCTTCGGGCCAACGCTATCAGGTACAGCTGGTTTTACGGGGGACTCGTCCGTTTGGGCAGAAGAATCGTCGACTCTCTGTGGTGGCACTGAGAACGTTACACGTTCCTCAGGCTTCTGGGCGGGCTCCTCGACTTTCTCCGTTACAGTACGCGGCGGAACAGCACTGGGTTCGTGCTGTGCTGCCACTGTGTCCCGTGCTTCAGACTTCTCCTTCTGCGAGGGAGGCTCGTGAGCCGGTTCAGGTTGGGCCGGAGACGACGCCGTGCCATCGAGCTGCGAGCTTTGATCGGGGCCACTGACGGTCTGCTCTTCGTCCACCTGCGACGGCGGCTGGTCGGATGTCACAGTTGTATTTGCTTTCTCATCTCGATAGTAGCTCGGCTCCTTGGACTCCGCAGTGCTTGAATCGCCCTGATGGGTTTCAGCCTTTTCTGGAGTAGGCTGAGTGCTTGGGACTGATGGTCGCCGAGTTGTCCTCTTCGCGGGGATGGCCGTATCGTCAGGGTCAATATTGGAAGATGAGCAACAGCTCAGGAATGCAAACAGCCGGGATGAAACCCTGCTCTTCTTCTCCACCTTGGCAGGCTCTCGCAAGTCAGGATCCGTTTTATTCTCTTCCATGACCGTGCTCTCCTCATTCCTCCGTCGTGACCTCATGCTGCTCCCTTTGCTCCTGTCCCTTCGCCCCTTTAGAATACTTCTCCTCGAGCCTCGAAGTGTGTTTTCGGAGTCATCATTGGCAGTATCCTGGGAGTTGTCTAATGTGGATTCTCTTTCCGCTTTCAAGGATGTCCGGGATGGCACGGGAAGCAGGTGCTGTTTCTTGGATACATCTGCAGAACTGGCGGCAGAGGCACCTTCGGGAATCGGAGTCGATTCCACGGGCGCTGGAGCTGTCTCGGGGGACTCTAACGAATTGGACGTAGGCGACGCATCGGTACCGGTGACATGACCCTGAGGCGACGATTCAGGAACTGAGAGCTTCTGTTAGCGATGACATGCGCAAGGCGACCAGGATGCGAAAGAAGCAAGGCTTACTAGAGCCGGGTTGACTCGTTGCGACAGACATGGACGCTTCTCCCGTGCGGGTGTCAGAATTCGATGGCAGAGAATCCCGCTCCGAGCTCCCTCCGAGCATTGAGGGTAGCAGAGCGAGGTTCACTCGAACGACAAGAAACTAGGATCGAAAAGTCTGAAATTAACAAGAGGCGGATGATACCAGAACACACGCCTAGGGACCACCAGGATGCCGCCGAGATGGGGAGGGGGGATGGGCGGAGACAGAAGGGAGGTGCGGAAATCAGCCTCCTGGAGCAGGACTGAAAGCGGTGGTAAGGCGTGGAGGCAGGTCGTAGTAGCAAAGTAGTAGCGCTTTTTAGCTCTGTGTCTGACTGTCTCTCGGGGACCCGTATCACCGCCTTAATTGAGGCTAGTGCACAGCACTAAGGCCCGTCGCAATAGAATCCACCCTCCAGGAACCTCAAGAGTCGATCAACTTTGCGAATAAACAAATCACATGCGACCGTGTTGCTGGACTAGAAATGATCGTAGGAACGGGGGGGAAAATCGACTGTGAAAGGGAGAGGAGTTTGGGGACGTCACGTGGCGGGTCAAGGTGCAGTTCCTCGAAATTAGTCGGTAATTATTTATACCTTCTTGATTCGGAGGGGGGAGAGGGGGTGCTGTTTGGTTACTGGCCGATGAGGGAGCTGAGGCCAACTTGTAAGGTAGAACAAGTTAGTAAAAGGGTAGGGACACTAAAGGGAAATGCCAAAAAATAAAATAAAATAAATAAAATTGAAAAAAAAAAAAAGGAAACCGAACTCTAAAGGATTCCCTAGGAATAACCCGATCGGCGATAGTAGATAATTCTCACGGGTTTGTTCGCTTAATAATTGAGGGACAGAAAAGATAACTGGTTAGTTTCTTTTCTTATTTGTTTGTTGAACTTGATTGTTTCTTTTCGCCTAATAGTGTTGGAAGGTAGTCCAGGGTGGATATGAGTCTCAGAGGGTTACAAGAGACCCAAGGTACTTGACTTGATTACTGGGAGTTCAACACAGAACGAGGAGGATATTGGAGGGTGGCTTGTCCCTAGTGCCTTGACAGTAACAGGCTAAACCGGGTTAAGAGGGGGGGCCAGAAAGGGGAGAAAGAAGGACCGATGGGGGGAAAGAATGAGAACGAGATGGGGGTTGGTGGAAAGCAAAGCGCTAAACAATCCCAGAGTACTAACTACTATTCGTAGTAGTAGTAATAGTAATCATATTACAATTTCGCTTCTCCAGATGGGTTTTAGTACTCCGTAGTGGTGGTGTTAAAATAATATTTTTCATTATTATTGTTGTTATTATTATTCTTATTATTATAATAATACTAATAATTTATTATTGCTCCTTGGAGGGAAAAAAGGGAAAAAAAGTCAGGTTAGTCTATCGGTCTGGACCAAGGATGCAGGGCTGCAGAATTGGGGCCGTCGAACCAGCAGCACCGGCACTAACAAGCACTGCGCCCGCTTTGACTGGTGGCTCCCAAAGCAAGTTTTCGAAGCTCCTAAGTACTGAACCTCCGCGAACTTGATATTAAATGCAACCTGACGGAGAGACACATCAGGTACTTTCGTAAGTCTAGTATAATTACATAACTTCTCCGGTAATTGTTAATACATAAATGATCGTCACGATTCAAGGAGAAAATTCCAATGCTGGACGAGATGAATGAATGCATGGGTGTATGTATGTACTCCGTATGTATATGTAATATGTATGCATGCCCTAATATTATTACACTAGCCAGTGCTGCATATTAGCTGGTCTGATAAAAGATAAGTGAGCTACTACCACCTTAGGCCCAGGGAGCTTGCATCAGCTTGCATCCACTCCTATTATTGCTCACCAAATCCTGTCTTTTCTCCCGTTATTCACCAATA